GGGAAGTGGCAAAACCATCTTCAGGTTGAAATTATATGAAAAGTTGGCAAAAAAATCTATTTTTGATGGATAATTTACTACAACATTCTCAATATTTAAACTCACCTTAAATCAGGTGTTTGATACTTTTAATTCCCATTTATTCCAGGAGCTGCTGCTCCTCCTTTGGCCCTGGATCTCAATGAAAGGATTTTTTCCCCATCATCTGCCAAACACAAACCCCAACTCCAACCACATCAGGCCTTGCAGCTCCTGGGAACAAGGAGATTCATCATCATCACATGGAATTTGGGAGGCTCAGATTTAGGCAAACTCCTAAAAAAACCCTGGGGTGGAAGGAGGGAAATTTGTCAAAGCATTTTGCTTGGAAGGTCTGGAAAATCCCAAGTCAAAGCTCCTATTTTGAGTAAAGAGGAAACAGAACCAGTCCAAGGAAAAAATCCCAGCAGGAAGAAGTGTCCAAAGCCAGGTTGGACGGGGCTTGGAGCAACCTGGGATAGTGGAAGTGTCCCTGCCCATGCAAGGAGGTGGAATGAGATGAATTTTAAGGCCCCCTTCCCACCCAAACCATTCCAGCATCCCATGATTTGTGAATATATTCTTTACAATACTCACAACTCATAAATTTCCTGCTCCACGAGCACCATGTGGGGGAGAAAACGGGCTTTTTCGAGCTGAAAAACATCAAAATCCAACTTGCAAGTGAACGTTTTTGACAGAATATTTCATTTACACTTTGCCTTCCCACCTTTTCTCTGCGGGGAAAGAAAATGAGAGCAGGTAGATTTAAAATCTCTCCTCGGTCTGCAAGCTGGAATGCAAGGAATAGGTGTCCAGAATTCCACATTTTGGAATAGGAATTAATGTGCATTCAGACCTAAAAGCCTCATAGGTGGCCCTACATGGTATTCTTTTATCAGTGGATAAACAGGAATAAAGAATTGTCTTTATTAAAGGTTCCACTGGCAAGTTTTTCAATGGAATTCATACAAGTCTTTCCACACTGGGAACCTCTTGGGAACCTCCCACAGCTGATCCCTCATCCCAGGAATTAATGGAGCCAGAGCTGGTCACCCCATGATTTCCTTCTCTCTTCCCTCAAAGTCTGTTAAAGGATCCAGAGCTTTTTCCCATCATTATCCTGCCTTTTAAAGGGATTGTCCTGCTCGACTTTTCCTTTAGGAAATAAAAGGCTGGATTAGAGGTGGCTGCAACCTGGACCCACCTGAGGGTGGTTTGAGGCAGCAATTCCAGCTTTTGCTCCTCATCCAGGGGCCTCTGGCTAAGCAGGATCCTGAAGGAACCTCCTGCTGGGAAGTGGATTCTCCCAGTTAAATAAGAGATCCCACCAGGAATGGTTAAATGGATGCTGGGAGTGAAAAGGTTACATGAGATAACGGGTCTGAAACACTGGGAATGAATTCCCTGGTGTTCAAACAGGACCTGGGATAGTTTTCTTTACAGGGCACAGACTCCCAGGAGAGCACGTTTGGATGCTCCGGGAAAAACAGCCCCACTTTCCCCGTGAGCTTTTCCCACCTCCCAGGGCCTTTTCCATGGGAAAGAAACACAAGGAAAAATTATGTGGAGGGGTAAAAATACATCACTGTGAAAATCAGAGCTGAAAATGTCCCCTTTGGCACGGGAGAGGAGCAGCCCAGAGGTGCCCACAGGAGGATTCCTGCCCATCGGGCTCCCGGGATTCATCCCGAGGATTGAGCACATGCTCCCGGTGCTCCTGCTGCCTCAGGAAAAACGGCCTGGGAGCTTTTATATTTACAGGAGAGCGGGAAGGAGATCCAGGAGACATTAGGGGGAAAAGCAGGGGAAAAAACCCCAACCCCAAGAGTCAGGCTGTGGGCACGGGGAGGGCTGGAAATCCGCAGTGAATCCCGGCTGTGCAGGCGCCGAGCTGCTCCCACCACAGCTATTCCTGGCCTTGGGAAGGAATCCTCCAGAGGGAGGCACAAAATTGGTTAAAAGGGCTTTTTTTTTTTTTTTTTTTTTTTATCTCCTTTCAGCCCCGTTGCACCAAAAGACAGAGGGAACCATTCCACGGAGAAAAATAGGAATTAAAGCGCTCGGAGGGATACTGGGAGGGGAAAGAGCAGCAAAGTGAGGGAGGGGGGAGCTGCTCCCCTGGGAGTCTCGGAGAGAGGCAGTGCCACCTGTCAGAGGGATTTTGGGAAAGCCAGGAGGGCTTTGGGGATGAAAGGGAGAGGGAGAGCAGCCAAAGGGACAAGGGGGTCACCCCACAAGGTCACGGAGCTGTTGGAATCAGCACTTCCCAGTTCCTGCCCAGCCACCAGATACAGAAATACTGTAAATATTTAATTACAGCAGCACTGCTTGTGCAGGGAAGGAGGGAAATCTTGGGAGAGGGGGAGGTTATTTTAGGCCCTTTCAAAAGGAAATCCCAGGGGGAAATTGCTCATTCCCTCCCCCAAATTATAACCAAATTTGCGATATCCAGAATTTGTTATCCACAGTTTGACAGGACATTTTAAATATATTGTTATAGCTGTGATTTCACGCTCTGCAGCTGGTTATGGATGTGATAGTCCCACAAAAATCAATGGAAAGGCACGTGTGAAAATGGGTTTTCTGTTGTAGGATCTTTCTGGTTCATTTTTAAAAGCAAAAATCACCTGAATTAGGAGGAAAAACATAAAATGAGGTGGGAAAGGCAAACCAGAACAGGCTGTCTTTTCCTGGGGAAAAAGAAGAAAAGGGAAGGAGAGGAAAGGGGAAAAAAGAAAAAAATTCTCAAGATTTTACCTTTTTTGCCCCTCAAACATCAAATATATAATTAAAAAAACAAACAAACAAACAAAACCAAACAGATGCTTTGATATGAAACTTTTACCAAAACATTTCTGCCCATTCCAGTTTTGTCCCTAAACTAAATCAGTGAGAGCTCAATCCCAACCCAAATCAGTGAGAACTTGGTTCTAAACCAAATCAGTGAGAATCTGATCCCAGTTCAAATCAGTGAGATCATTCCAAACAAAATCAGTGAAGAACTCGATCCTAAATTAAATCACTGATAACAGTCCTAAATCAAATCAGTGAGAACTTGGTCTCGATCCAAATCAGTGAGAATTTGATCCTAAACCAAACCAGTGACATCCCAGTCCCAATCCAAATCAGAGAGAACTTGATCCCAGTTCAAATCAGTGAGAAGTTGATGTGAAATAAATCAGTGAGAACTTGATCCTAAATTAAATCAGTGAGAACTTGGTCTCTATCCAAATCAGAGAGAAGTTGATATGAAATAAATCAGTGAGAATTTGATCCTAAATAAAATCAGTGATACTTTGATCCTAGATGAAATCAGTGATAACTTGGTGCTAAACAAATCAGTGATTACTTGGTCCTGAATTAAATCAGTGATAACTTGATCCCAAATTAAATCAATGAAGAATTTGATCCTAAATTAAATCAGTGATAACTTGATCCCAAAATAAATCAATGAAGAACTTGATCCTAAATTAAATCAGTGATAACTTAGTCCTAAACCAAATCAGTGAGAACTTGGTCCCAATCCAAATCAGAGAGAACTTGATCCCAATTTAAATCAGTGAGAAGTTGATATGAAATAAATCAGTGATAATTTGATCCTAGATTAAATCAGTGATAACTTGATCCTAAATAAAATCAGCAATAATTTGATCCTAGCTGAAATCAGTGGTAACTTGGTGCTAAACAAATCAGTGAAAACTCGATTCCAGGGGGAGTCCTGGAGCTCCTTCCAGGGCCTAAAGGGGCTCCAGGAGAGCTGGAGAGGGACTGGGGACAAGGGATGGAGGGACAGGATGCAGGGAATGGTTTCCCACTGCCAGAGGGCAGGGTTAGAGGGGATATTGGGAAGGGATTCTTGGCTGGGAGGGTGGGGAG